TGTCTTCTGGCTTGTTGCGCTGTGTAGTCTGGTCGATGTTAACCAACGTTTCAGAGGTCATACTGCCTCCGTCATCCCCTGATGATGGAGGCAGTATGACCTCTGAAATGTTGGTATCCATCGACCAGACTACACAGCAGAACAACCCACATGGCAGAAAGATTTATACTCACAGCTGTGAAAACCTCAAATTTTACAAGTTACTTCAAATTTGCAAACTAGTAATAGAAATACATTCATCAGCCAATGCTACATAATAAATAAATATTCTGACCAGTTAAAAGTGTAATGTCTTCACTTCTGAGTCCAGTAAAGTCCTGGGTCAGAGGTAATTGCCAGAGTAAACCAAAGAACTCAGAGAAAAACATGTCTCACTGTTACTTTGCGACAATGCCCTGGAAATGAACCCAGGCCTCTGAAGTATAAGGCGCTATAAGCATGATATATCATGAAAAATGTAGGCTACCAAATACACAAGATCATGCACATCATCATAAATACATGGAAATACATTCAAGAGAAGTCTAAAGGTTTTTGATGAAGATGCATCATTAAACTGACACAACAGTGTACATTATCTTTCATCTATAAATTAGAAGAAAATTATAAATCTGTAGTGAATTATTTTTAGTTAACATATTGTAAATTAGGAATGTAGAGAATTGAATGTAGTTAGAAGTAAGTATAGTAGATCTTTGCATGTAGGAATGTGTTGACTCATTTCCTGTCTAGAGTAAAGTAGCAAGGCTAGTTCACCTTATTCTCAGGCGATGAGAAAAACATTAAACGGAAATGCAGACGTAGCTATTAGGAGTCAGCAAAAGTATGGGAAAACGCTAACGGAAAGGTTGTGAAAGGAAGTTGAAGAGAGATCTAGACAGATGGGCCGAAACTTCGAAGATAGCAGGAGGTTACTAGAGTCATGATGGGCAACGTGCAGCTGATCGGGCTACTTTTAACAGGTGAGCGCTGAGGAGATGAATTCAAGTTTAGTACGGGTGGATTAATAAATATTCAAAATTACGGAATTAGAGTGTACTAAGGATAAAGTGAATTAGCCTAAATTAAGAAGGTAATGTTTTAAATTAAATGTGAAATTTATGTAGAACTTAGTGTTAGAAATAAATGTGATAGTCTTATGAAACAAGTTGTAGCCTCATGGACGTATTATCTATCATATTAGCTGAGCATGTTTAAGCTGACACCAGCATCCTTGGGAACTTACCTTGCTCCATGCCAAGCCACACTACCACATTAGTAAACTAAATCCAAAGGAATCTATACAAAGTAGAACGTTACAAAACTATACAACCTACAATTGAATAAAAATTTCCTTGGATATTATCCATCGTCTAGTAAATATAGACGATGGATAATATCCAAGGAATTTTTTTATTCAAATGAATCTTCACCATCGTCAAGAAGTTTTAGATTTGATATATACGACCTAACAGTTTCACCTAATGATGGAAGCAGAGCTACCTTCTGAAACATGGGTGTTTTAAATTTACAGATGAAGGAAACTGTCGAATAACACACATCAGTTTAACATCTTCAAGGAAGTTCCTTTGCGCTTCGAACTGTATCCAGTTACACTATTTAATTATGTAGCACACTGCCTTCCTTATTCCTCCCCTGCCAAATCCACAGAGGAGGAGCTCTTTCTTGCTTCAGCACCATACCCCTTAATCTATTCTCTTAATTCTGGATGATCTACAACAGGTTTTCCCAACCTGGTATCTGTGCCCTGCCCACATTTTTTAATAATATATCATGATAAATTATTTTTTTCTGTGTGAAGATTCCTGTCTTCTGGGTTGTTGCTCCATGTAGTCTGGTAGAAGTTTACTAACATTTCAGAGGTGCGATGATGGAGGTAGCAAATACTTCTGAAACGCCTGTAAACTTCTACCAGACTATACACGGTGCAACAACCCAGAAGACAGGCATCTTCATACTCACTGCCATATGAAAATAAAATCTCA